ATGCTGTAGATGAGAGCACTTTGGAGCCAGGGACCCCGGGGGTGGGGGGCTGCTGTTGGCTGTGTGAGCCCTTCCTGAAGGACAAGGGAAGGCTGCTTTTAGGCAGCAGGGATTCAAATGTAGTTTTTGTTTCCATAACCTTGATGTTGGCTGGGACCCCCCCAATCCCCAGACCCTGGCTTCTCAGAAGCACGAGCCATTAGTCACCCTCTTCGTGCGTCTTGCAGGCCATGACAGGCTCTTGTAGGCGCCACCTCCTCTCTTGGCCACAAGCAGAAAACAGCGCGTGCTCTCCAGGACGCACAGGCTAAATGCGGCAGGTTTTTGTCATTCGATCATATGCAACTTTCTGTTGAAATGGAAACTCATCAATTTGATTGTGGTTCTTCTCTGGGGGTGATGTTAAAGGTAAAATAATTTCACAAAGCCCTTAAAATGAGCAGAGAGATCAGATTTCCATCAGGGACATCTGAAAGGCCTTGTCCCTGCCCTCTGCTTCCTCCAACCCTCCAGCCTAGTCTTTTTTTTTCTTTCTTTCTTTCTTGGTTTTGGTAAGAATGAAATAAAAACCTGGCTGAGAGGGATTTCATAATGGAAAAAATTTCATGTGAAGAATAGAAAGGTTGGGATGGTGGGTACAGCTCAGCGGCAGACAGCGTGCTCAGCATGCATGAGGTCCTGGGTTCAATCCCCAGTACCTCCATCAAAAAAAACCCAAACAAACAACAAAAAAACCCAGAAACGCACGCTAATGGTGTATCAGGAAAAGTGGGGTCCAGCTTTGAAGTGACTGGTAAGGGGAGCCCCTCGGGAGGGAAGAGTGGCCACAGCAAGCCCTCCGTGGGGGTGGGGGTGGGGGGCTTTGCCGTGATGTAATGTCACCTACTCCAGGATTATAATTGGTGTCCTTTGACTAAATCATCCGACCTTTTCCATACAGGAATCTTTCATCCCCTATAAAATGAAAATCCTTTTAGCTATGAGGCTGCTGAGCATAATTACATTACAAATGCCAGCTCCCTCTTCCTGCCCCGCCAGCCACATCTCACAGGCTGCGGCTTCAGCCCCGCACACGAGGGAGTCCTTCCTCAGGGTCGGGAGGTTTAAGTAGCTGGGCCCCTGTCACTGGTGCCATGGGGACAGATGGGACATTTGGTGGTTGGGCTGAATGTGATCGTGACTGACTCTTCCTCGTGAAATGTGGGCAAGAGACAGTACATCCTTCTGGGAGCAGCAGGCAGTGCTGGCACCAGGCCTCTCTGGCTCCTCAGCTCAGCAATATGGCAGGTGGAAATGGAGGCCAAGCGTTTCCCCACTCAGCTCTGCCCAGACTTCTGTACCGAGGCCTTCACGACACAGTTGTTCCCTCAGTTTTCCCCGGCCAAGAAATCCCCCATCACTAATTATGACTAGGGCTCAGGGCTTTGCACTAATAAGATCAATTTTTAGGCTTTGAGTTGAATTGGGTGCTGTCATTCATGCACATAAATTCTCACAAGTTTGGTAATCGCACAAGTGTCACCTTAAAACCGTGGCTGTCGAGCTGAATGTCGCACGCGGCTAAAAGTCAAGGAGGAGGTGTAGTCACGCCGCCTCCAAACTGAGCCTGTAGAACAAGCTGACCTGGATCACATTTTTAAAAGAAGTGTTATTCTGTTCAGCTCCATCTGCCTCCCGAAGGCACAAACTGGTGCCTGTTTAATTGGTACGTAACATACGACAGGAGGCTGGAAGCCCAGGAATTTAAATTTACCTGCATGTAGTAGATTTCTGACATTCAGGGAAGAAGAAAGAAAAAAGAATGCAGGCATTGCCCCGGGGAATGTTCCACTGGGTCCACTCAACACTTGACATCTAAATACCCGCTGGCTTCAGCTGTTGTCTGAATTGCGTGTTTATTCAACCATGAACAAGTATTTATAATATAAAAGGATGAGTTTACTTTTTTTTTTTAAAGCTACAAGATGCGGCTTTAAAAAATTAACATGGCAGTAGGGCATCTGTTACTTTTTGGATGGCGATCACTGGATTTCCATCAACTCTAAATTATGCCGGTGCTAATTCTCTAGTTCTTTCTTTCCTTCTGGTGGCTTCTCTTTGGTCATTCCCTTGCCTGATGACACCTTCAGTGCGGAGAAGTCAAGGGAAGTGACAGGAGTCAGGTCCTCATGGGTCCGAGAAGCTGCTGGTGGGGCCTCTGGTGGCAGGTGGAGAGGGAGCAGGACGAGGCATAAGTCTGTGGTCCCTTCCTGGAGAGTGCCCCCATCTCCCTTGAATTAACGACTGAGAATTAATGAATCGTATATCCCTTTTCTTGGCACTGCACCTGGCGCTTAGTAAGTGCTCAGCACACATACCAGGGGAAGCTGGGAGACACTTTACACCATTTTAGGTGACTTCCTAGTCCAGTGATCTCTTAAGGGACCCTGATTTTTATTGTTCCGAGGAAGAGACAATGCCTGATTTTGCTTTTCCGGCTTGAAGAGTCTTCCCACGACTTTCTTAGTTCGGTGGTTGTGTGGCTGTTTGAGTTGCATGTTTCTTTTACTGTTGTGGATTGCAAAGCAATCCGGACACATGGCGATTGGAACACGATGTCTACCTCTCCATAAGATGGATATGTGAGAGTGCTTTTTTCATTCTATTGTATCTATATGCATAAAGGGAGAAACAGTTTTATTGCAGCTGTCAGTCAGAAAAATCAGACACGTTCCTAACGCGAAGAACGAACGATAACAGCCTCTTCGTTGATCAGATAGTGACAAAACTATGTGGGCCGCCTTCCCAGCAGACTGAGAAACCTTTCCTCTTGTAAACAGTCCAAGACACTACAGGTTGAAGCACAACCATCAGGTTGTTGCTGTTTCAGATTTAGCTTTCTGGTCCTCTCACTGGAAAACTCCTTACATTTTAATTTTCCGTACGCGTGTATTTAAATACCGTGCTCTTAATATGTCTGATGCTTTGAGTGCCTTAGTGTTTACTGCACGTGTGTTTGATCATACTGTTAGATTATTCCTTTTTTTTTTTCTCTCCCTACGTCCAGGTCTTTGATAACACCTGTAAGCTTCTTGAGATGAATAAGGGGGATCTTGGGCTTGGTAAAAGAGATAGGTAGGCTTTGAATTATTTCTACAGACACATTTCTGTCTTAGAAAGCCTTGCTTTCTAAGACAGGTATATTTTTTTAATTCATCCTTTAATTTATTTATTTAATAGAGGTGCTGGGGATTGAACCCAGGACCTCGTGCATGCCAGGCATGTGCTCTACCACTGAGCTACTCTCTCCCCTATATAGTTGTTTTTAATTCGTCAAAGAACTGGGCTACAACCTGAATGATACAGAGGCTGGCCCACTCATATAAATGCTCTCTCATTCTGCTTCTTAATAGTGGGGAGAACATATTTAATTAATATGAAAATCAGAAGATTTCTACATCTTCTGAATGCAGATTTCCAAACTGTCATTAAACACACTTCTGACCTCCTGTTTTTACAGATGGTTAAAGCTCACTTGAACGATTTACACCGCCAAACCCTAATTATGTATGTAGCTGGCTGACTGACTGTACTTTCATCACCCCCCACCCCCACCCCGCCAACCCCGGGGATTAATTACCACCTCCCTGGCTCCCAGGGCAGTGGCCATGAGGGGAGGGCGGGTGTGAGGGTCAGGGGGAGAGCCTACCTGAGGTTGAGGGCAGCTGCAGCAGCCCTGGGGAGAGGAGAAAAACCCACGTCCTCCTGGGCCACCCTTACACTGTTGTGTATCCTGTTATCTTGGAATGTGTTTGATAACTAAACAAAGAAAATACTGATATGGCTTTCAGCCCCCAAAGTCTGTGCCCTGATTAACTTCACAAAGTCCAAGAAGAGCTTGAGGACTACACTGTCATATTCTTGCTTCTCAGAGGTGAATGGACAGACCTCACCTGTGCTCTGGGTGAAGTTAGGATTGGAGAAAAGGAGGGGAGAAAGATGATGGTGGAAAGGCCATCATATTGCATGGAGCTTTCAATTCTCCAGATGATCGCCCAATGGATAGACCATCTCACTGGATCTCAAGACAGCCCCCAGGAGATCAGTGTCATGGCCATCACTTATCCTGACCAGGAAGCTGGGACTCAGGGACATTTATCGTCATTTTACTTCCTGACTGTGGGTGGGCTTCGGGGTTTGAGTCTGTCCCCCAGTTGGACTATAAGCAGTCAGAGGGGCAGACTCTCACTGTTGCCCACACCCCTCCCCACCATCCCCTGGGGACTTAAGGACCACCTGACACAGACACGCACTGCACAACTGGTGAGCAGCTAAAATTGAAAACGGGACTCAAGCCAAATTCTTGAAACCACATCGTCTGCCTGCCAGGCTTGCCCTTGACACACATTTTTTCCCTAAGAGCCTAAATAATTTATAGTATCATTTTATCACTTCTCATTTGTCATTTGCAGCATCTCAAGAGCATCCCAGGATGTTATATTTATGCATCTTCTTCTTTTGTTCTTCCTCCTCTTAAATTGATGCCGGGAAAGGGAGTAACACTTGGGGTTTCGGTGCTAGGACTGGGAGATGGATGACTGGATATTTTTCCTGCGTAAGAACTGTTTACATTGTTATAAAGACTGTAGCACTTTAGAGGGGAAAAAAAGCTCTCGGGAGTGAATCACTACTACTCTTTGCTTGTTACAATTTACAAAAACGAGAAAGCTTCTCTTCCTGGTAGCACACAAGCCCCAATGCAGGTGCTCAGATAAGACTCATTAATGCCATTTGCCTTAGTTTTCTAACATCCTGGAAGCCACCCCGTCAGGACTGGGTGTTTTAGTCACTCAGAAGTCCCCCAGGACTCTCTGGGGCACACTCAGAGTGGGGCTCCACTTCCCTTCGAGAGAGCCACGCGTAACCGACCAGTCACAGGACAGAAACGGCCACGCTGTAAATGAGAAGCGTACAAACCACCTCCCCGGCCCCGACCGCATCAATGAAGCGTCCACACTTACATGTCGTCGAAGACAAGTTTCTGCCTCTTGCAGTCCCTGTGGCCGTTGGAGCCTGGAGACCACGGCTCTGTCTGTGGCCGCGACTTGTGGAGAACGTTCTCGGAAGCGTTGTGAGCCGCTTTCTAAACAAGAAACACACACACCATTCTTTGAGAAACTGGCCACCTGGCTGAAGGAGCAACCTGTTAGACAGAGTATGTTGTGTTCTGTGTGCTTGGTTGGAGCCTAGGGTGCTTTTTGTTGAAATAAAGAAAAAGACTGGATAGAGACGTGGAGTGTATACAAATGCTTCTTTAAACATGGACCGATCGTACGTGCAGATCAACCCTGCTTGTTAGGGAGCCTCTATTCCTCCAGGCGTTTCCTTTCTGGCACACAGGGAGTAAATTATTGATGTGCGTGACCCCTGTGAGTGGCTGAGTGGCTCTCCCCAGCAAGGCTGCAGGCTTCGTGCAGGCAGAGACCGAGTCTGTTACATCATCAGTGCACCTCTGCTGCTTAGCACGGTGCCTGGCACACAGTAGGAACTTGCTCGATAAACACCTGCTCAGTGAAAGAATAGCTAAATAAAGTCCATCACTGGTTTCCAATTCTCTGCACATCATAGTTTCTTGCTTATTTATTTTTTTAATTGAAGTACAGTCTGCTACAATTTGTCAAGTTCTGGTGTACAGCACAAGTTGCTTGTGACATATGAATCTTGAGGCCAAGAAAAGTTTTCCTTTAAAATTTGAATTGTTAGCTTCTTATTTCAGGTTTTTCTGTTACGGTTGTCTCAGATACTTGTATCCTAGAATTAAAGATAATTGCTCTCAACTAAGGGTGCCTAAGGGGGTTGATTTCCTGATGGTACAATAAGACTTATGCTCTTGCAGGACCTTCTAATAACTCCCCCCCCCTTTAATTCACGGGGTAAAGCATGAAATAGTGCCTCCCCCTGTTTTCTTTGCAGAGTCCTAGTCCCATGTCTCTCCTGCCCTGCCTCACACAGCCCCGCTGGTGTAGATGTGTGCAGAGACCTGACAGAGCTCCCCGGGGAAGTCTCGGATTAAATAATGTACCCGGAGGATGCATGGTCCAGGGCACCCAGCTGTTAGACAGCGAGTGGCAGGAAGGAGGAAAGAACATGTGGTGTTAGTCGCACAGGGGTCCACAGGTGCGGGGTCTTCAGATGGTGCCGCCTCACGTAAATCTTATCACCACCATTTTGCAAATCAAACAGGCTCAAGACATTAAGCAACTGGCCCCAAATCACCTGGTGACAAGCTGTAAGGCCAGAGGGACGGTGGACCCAAGTGCCCCGGGGAACGCAGTGACAAGGTCACTGGAAGAGGGGTGGTGGCGGGGTTGCCACACTGGCCAGCTACGCTGGTCACCAAGGCAGAGGGGGCGCCCCACCACTGTGTCCTGGGTTTTCAAGGCCAGATTTAACCCTGCCTCGGGGCAAGGAATCTTTTCAAATATAAAGGCTGGTTGGCCCCAAACTCCCAATCTGCTTTGTCCTGGGAGTATGACTTTGGGGCTGTGTCTTTTCAGAATGGGAAATGAAGTCCCACAAAGAGGACTCATCCCCAGGCAGGAGAGGCTCAGGATGCCTGCCCCCTTCCTTCTTCCGCAGCTGTCTGCTCCCTCGTGGGGTCTTCCCGGGGCAGCAGCGGGCGCTTCTCCTTGGGACCTCCCGCCTGCGTTCAGACTGGGCGGGGCTGGGGACGGAGTGGGGGGCGAGCTCCGTTCCAGGCCGGTTGTAACTGGGGCAGGAGCGCATCCACCTACCGCGACGTCTCCGGCGTGGGTCGGCAGCTGGCTCTCTGGCTTATGCTTCTTGCTGGCGGAGGTGGAGGTAAGCAAGCCATTGCTGCCGGGTCGGCCGCAGGAGGTGAAGTCCTCGCCTGAGTATTTGTGTTTAGACGCGTCGGATGGGGGGGAGATGGGCGACCGCAGCATTTTTTCATTTTTGTTTATTGGTATTGCCAAGCTGAGAAAGGAAATCACAGTAATAGAGCATCACACAGTCAGCACCGGGAAAGGTAACTGTTCTCGATATGACCCGGACCTCCCATGTAAAACCTGCCGGTGGGAAGACGCTGATTGGAAATTATTATGCCAGGAAACAATTCTGCAGCGTTAGGACCGAGACAAACAAGAAGCAAATTTCGTTTGTTGTTTCTTTACTCATCCTCTCAGAAAGAATAGTAATTCTGGGGTTAAATGGCTAAGAATAACAACACTTTCATTTCTCAAGTGTTTCATCCAAGGATGTCAAAACACACAACAAACACCTTACTGGCTTCCTAACAAGTGTAAACAGCAGGGAACTCCAATGATGCACAAGTTCTTTACCTCCTAAAGGACTTCTGCTACACCTGAGCTTGCACTAATTATTACACGGCGAAGAACAGAATCACAGAATCACCTGCAAAGCATGAATCCAACTTCCGGTTGTTAGGTTTCTGAGCTAAACAGGCATTGATCAGAATAAGCAGAGAACAGAAAACTGTCCTTAGAAAACACATTTTCTGATTCCTAGCTCCTTATTTTACCTTCAAAATTATTGTCTGTGCCTGAATATAAATCCTCCCAAAATTAACCATCAGAGAAGGGAGTCACTTCTGTTCGAGTCTCTGCAATACGTACTATGTTGATGGGGCTTTCTCCACGACTTCACTTTGGGAAAAAAAAAAATTGGCAAGACGCTTTAGCCTGAAATAAACCCAATCACTGCTAATTTGGGATGCTTCTAGAAGTTACTCACTTGGTAGAGTCAGTTAAAAAAAGGCAAATTCATTTAACAAAGATTTAGTCATTATTCCTGGAGTTATGACTTCTTAATTGTGTGTGTTGGCTGTCACTGCAAACAAGCCATTAAAGTCACTTCAAAAAGCAATTTCCTTAGTCATAGTGTAGACATTACCAACACAGGCCTCTAGAACAGATCAGAAGCCAAGGTTCTTAAAGTTATGCAAATACATATGTGTAGGGGTAGAATTTCTGATGACAGATTTCTGGTTCAAAAAGTACTGCACGTCTAACAACTTAGCAGTGAGAAGATGTGTCCTGGAAAGCTGCCTTGGATGAATCAAAAGTGACTCAGCCGGTGAGGATGAAGACACTGCCGTTGAAGACAGACTGAATAGTCTGTGTCTTGACATGTAAGTGAAAAAGTCATATTTCTAAGTCTCCATTATTTCACATACTACATGATTTTAAATGTTCATGGAAAACTAAATTATTACATTGAATACTGTCATGGACATCTGGTTATTTCTTCTTCATCATCATACGTTTGTATATTCCAACTGACCAAAGTAACTTTGAAACTTTCTTGCGACTACCTCTTGGGACGGGTGATCACTGTATATATAGCGCTGTCTTACTACGCTGGGAAAGCTTGACAGCCGTAACCAGAATTCCAGAGGTACACAGACTCCCTTTCCTAGAACTCAAGGCACTTTCATATGCATTGTGTCATTACTTAACAGAAGTAAAAACTATCAAGAGCCAGCAGGCCCTGCCAGGCCAAGGCTCTCGAGCATGAGCTATTATCCTGGGGTCTCCGAACTGGGATGGAAAAAAAAAGTTACATCTTCATTTTCATTAATCTCTCACTGACAGAGAAGATTCCCATTAACGACGAATGAAGGCAAGAATAGTGGTTTAGCAGGAGCTGTATTAGCAATTCCTGTGATTGTGGAAATCACGTTATTTTCATGTCCTATCAGTTGCTGCAGACATTGTGAGACACTGCTTACACTCATCGCTACCAGAAATTATAGTGGTTGCAAGATCTGCTGGCAAGGTTATTTCAGGCATTAAGGAAGAAGCGCTAGAGAACTCGAGTGCACTTTCAAAACGCACTTTGGAACCACATTTTCCCCATTCACATTTCCCCCGTCTTTTGGGATAGCATCTGCTGGGCACGGTGGACAGTGGGCCAAGCCAGCTCGTGTGTGCTGCTCTGCCTCCCGCTCAGACCTTCAAGGGCCCTCGCCCTTCTTCCCAAGGTGACTCATACACTGCAGTGAGCCTGTGCTCAGGTGCCCTCGCTCTCCAATTTCCTCTCAAGCTTTAGTACTGCTCTATATCTTCTCCTAACCTTTTGGTTTACATTTTTATGTGTTGCGCTGAAACATTAATCTCCCCTTAAAAGTTCTCTGTACACAGTCAGGGAGAGTGAGGAGTGTCTTAGCAGAGGAAAAGCGCTTTCCGAGCCGTGCTATTTCTAAATGGAAACAGCTTCTATGACTGATGCTAAGCTGCTTGCTTATAATAAATACCTGACCGTGCTTTGCCGGGAGGCCATTCGTCACAGAGGGGATTCAGGGCCTTGAGGTCCATCTGGAACCCCTTAAGAGGACTGACTGTTAGCTGTTTGACCTTGAAGACCCAGATCCTGTCTCACACTGCAAATTCAGCTACATCCAAGACCTCTGGGTGTGTCATAGGGAGATTCCACTCAAGTTTATATATTTTTTCATTTGTGTTATAAGCTAAGTGTTCTCATAGGTTTACTGGCTCTTAAAATGATGGTTGGAAAATTCAGGTTTTAAGTTGTCAGAGTGGAGGGTGTATTTTTGAAAGGATAGAACCATGTGTAACTAGGACCTGGTCTTGTGTGACACCAGAGCTATGATACGAGGCACCTCTCTAGGCAGGATGGTCAGCTTAGATTAAACGAGGGGAAGCCAGTCTGGAGACCCTGAGCAGAGCAGTCATTAAAAAAGCCCTGACTCTCCCCGACGATGGCATGCTGGCTCTGCCTCGGCGGGAGCACGCGTACCTGCTGATGCTCACGTTGCAGTGGTTTGCAGACAAAGTACCGTTGGCAGAGGCGGTCAGTCGTGAAGAGCTCTCCTTCTCTCCCTGGGCCTTCTTGACCTCCCTGTAGTCGTCTTCGTTGTCACACTGTGTGGAAATAAGCAAAAACCAATCAGCTTTGGACCTCCAGGGACCGTAGCGAGCTCCCATCACCAGCTTGCACAGGGAAGGCCTCCTGGGAGACCCGCTCGCCGGGCTCCTCTGGAGACCGTCCTGAGCACCACTGTGCCATGTCGCTGTGGCACTCTTGGCCGTGACCTGGGTTCCCAGGCAGCTCCTCCACGAACAAGGACGAAACCTCTCAGTTTTGCTGTTGACAGTTTACGGAGAGGAAAAAGCATGACACCACGATCACAATTCAGGAGGGGATGTCAGGACTGATGAAAACCGTTCTGCCAACAGACTGGATTCCACCCTCCAAAGAAGACCTGTTCTGGAGCTGCCCACTTTGGCATTTTTTGGTACCTGGACAAGGCAGAGCAACCTATTCCAGGCTTACAGCTGGAAGGACAGTGACATGCTTGGACTTTTCTTTTGAAGTTCATGGCCTTAAAGGACCTTTTTATAACAGTATTTCTACTGGATTCTTGTTTCCATGATTGTATTGAACTCTAGACACGCGTTAGGGTGCAATGCACACGTACTAACTGAGTTCCACTCTCGCTGGGACTGCAGCCACACAGTAAAGGCACGTGCAGGGCTCACAGCAGTGTTTTCAAGCAGACAAGTCCCAGCCCCAAAGGTAGAAAGATTTTGACCTTCTCTCTCCAGCTGGGGTTGTCTCACAGCCTCTTTCGCAAGGATCCCTGACGCTGACACTGAAATTGTGCCCCCAAGGAGGGTCCAAGCCAGAGCTCTGAGCCCCCAGCCCTGGGCTCCAGCAGGGGAAGACTCTGCACCCTGTGCAGCCAGGTCTGTGGAGTCCCACCTCCCGCACCCAGTACTGAGGTTTCAACGCCCCAGATGCTGAGTAAAGAGTGCTGTGAAAATGTTCTTTTCCTTCTCCGAGCGGGTTTAGTGATGACTCAGTAGATTTCATGAGGAGAGCTGAGTGTTGGGCTTAGTGTAAATGACATTTCATAAGTTAAAATAAAAAAGGCCATGAATAATACAAAGATTTAAGTACAGGATGTTATGGAATGTACACGGATGCATTTTTGCACCCCTCTCTATAGAGCTACATATGTGTATACAGCTCTACGCATTTCCCATCTATCTGTATGTTTCTCAGTTTCTAACTATGAAATATCTCTCTCGCTTTCCATCAGCCTATCCATTTATCCATCACTCCCCAGGTGATTAATTAATTAATTCATTAATCAGTTAATCACCTGGGGACTGACTGATGGATAAATCAATCCAGCAAGTTAAGAGGAGGGCAGGGTATGTAGAGGAAAACAGAAGGAAAGAGGGTGGGGAAGCATGACTGAATTATACTGTCTGAATTGATGCTACCCCTGCAAAGACGTCACCATTTTATAAGTGAAGAAACTAAAGTACAGAGACGATCCCCTGACTGAGGTCACCCAGGAGGCCAGGGCTGACTGCATAAGCGCAGTTTCAGTGCAAAATGAAAATGCCGGGCCCCTTGTTCAAAACACAGCAAAAGATGCTTGATGTCGATCTTGGTGATGATTGTTTTAGATTTAACACCAAAAGCAAAGGCAACAAAAGCAAAAATAAACAAGAGGGACTACATTAAACTAAAAAGCTTCTGTAAGAGGGGAGGGTATAGCTCACTGGTAGAGTGCATGCGTAGCATGCATGAGGTCCTGGGTTCAATCCCCAGTACCTCCATTAAACAAATAAACAAGTAAACAAACAAACCTAATTACCCCCACAAAAAACCAAACAAACAAAATTAAAAAGCTTCCATACAGCAAAGCAAACCATCAACACAACGAAAAGGCAACCTACTGAACAGGAGAAACTATCTGCAAACGTGTGTCTGAGAAGGGGTTAGTATCCAACATATATAAAGAGCTCATACAATTCAATAGCAAAGAAACAAAAAATCCAATTGGAAAATGGGCAGAGGAACTGATTAGACATTTTTCTAAAGAAGACATACAGATGGCCAAAGGATGCATGAAAAGATACTCAGCATCACTCA